AAGATTTTAATTCTATCAGTTTTTTTCATTTATCATTCTAATACAGCAGGTAGTTGGATCCTTAATGTTCAAATTTTGCATGTGTTAAGAAGGTATAGAAATCGATATATTTGAAAAGTGAATCTGTTTCTATGGAAGCTTTTGATGATGAAGAAAGTTCACGCTTTGCACATTCACAAGCTGTCCTTAATCGACGGAAAGCATCTGCATTTGTTGTAAGATCTTCCTTAATTTTTTAGTCGAATAATGATTTACAAGTCGATCTTTCCTTTGTTACACGACTAGTGTGCTTACGAACGTTTTTTGCAGATAACAGCATTTGTTAGACTTAGGTAAGAGCATCTGAATTTCGACGTAATAAGGTCCTATCACTATTTGTTGAAAATAAAAGACTTATTTTTATTTTTGAGCAAAATTCGCCCAAACAAAATTTTTAATAGATTATTTTGGATATGAAGAATTGGTTGCAGCTTGTTCACGAGACTTTTGTCATTTCTCGATGGCTTTGCGAAACCAGACTTGGTTCTTTTTGGCCTCTTCCTGAGCTCGAAGAGAATCCTGAATCTGTCGGAACCAAGCTTGAGTGTCTGTGGTCGGCTATGAGGCATCCTTGGAAACAGAAAATCGGTCATCATCTTCGTCTTCTTCACTGTCAACAACAAAAGTTGGATCAATGCTTTTCTTGGTTCGTTGCGGTACATATTTATATGCTGGAATACTTGTTTCGGCACTTCCCTCAACAACAACTGATGATTTGATCCTCAAAAGGGAATCTCGGAACCCTTCGTTAGATTTATATAATTACACTCGACTTTTCCAATTCAGCAATCTCGGCACACCTCCCATTGGTATTGGACTATAAAGGAATCGCAGCCCGTCTCTTAAGGTCATCTTTCAGAATGTTCCCAAGACGTCTCATATGATTCTCCTACATGTATTTCTTGATCTTAAATTTATAAAAGAGAATTTATTGTTCAGGTATTTTAAAAGATTAAATATCCTCGTCGCAAAAGTGAGTTCGTTCATGCCAACAAGTACTAAGAGCTGTATCAGCAGAAGGATGATCATCTGATATTGGTAGATCCGTATATAATAGATAAAGTATTCGAGAGTTGTTGAATTTGTTCTAGAGAATTTTTATTGCAGCATTATAGTTCTCCCTGTCGTATGGTCTTTGACAATCCGGAATGAGCGGCACTATAGTAAATGCGTTAAAATAATTAACGAGGTAGGCAAATTGCAATATCCAGGAGCGACCGCAAAAACCAATGAAACTTTAAATTCCACAAGAGATACAAAGTCTGAAAAGGCATCAGATGTAATTAAGTTGACTCTTTCAGCATGATTGATAGCGTATTAAATAATTTCTTTATGTGCATGATCGCATTAATAACGCAATTATAATGATTAGAATGGAGCCAAGAAAAGAATGACGAAAGCCACTTTTCAACTGGAATCTCTTTAGGATATCCATAGTAATCATAACCGACGGGTAAATCATTAGGGTGTGAAATCTCTATTGTTTTTGAAATCTCCCAATCAAACTTATCAATGCACCATTCTTCCCGCAACTGCTGAAAACGAACATACATTTTAACATGACCGCGAAGTTACTGGGTACATTGGATAATTTCCCTAGCCATCGGTTTCGATTAATCCATACCACGTATGATTAGCATGCACCATATTAGTGACCTCAGGATAACTTGTATGGTGATTTGATATTTAATCAGTCTTTCAGTCCACTACCTTTCTGCAGGACGAACCTCTTTACTTTGCTCATCTTTAAGAATTCGGCCACGGTATAATAAATCCATTGTCGCATCACGGTATATTGGAGACATGCAAGAGTGAGACGTTGGTATTGCATCGATTGTGACGGAACTACGTCATGTTTTCGGCAATCCGTCTTTTGACATGATTTTGCATCTTTACAGATATAACTACTTACGAACGGAATATCTCTACCTTCAGATTGACTTTCAAGAGGAGCTCGTATATATATGATGCAAGTAATTGTGAGATCGCCTGGTGCACAACTTCCACATCATATACTTTCTAGTAGTCCATACTTTCTGCCGTATCCTCGTAAATAAGATGAACAAACGGGTTGTCAAAAGAACATTTCCGTTTCTGCTCACGATCCTTTACCTTGCTTACAACAAAAATGTCCTCGAATTCCTGGCGGATTATCGAATTGTTGACATTTCGACATGCATCTATATAAGTAAAGGCAAACGTTTATGCCAATACTCAAACTGGATATCAGATCTTTGGGAATCTTCAGCCATATATTTATTGCACGAAATTCAGCAACAAAATCCTCTCGAATTCTGAAAAATTGCATGCATTTGTGAATTTTACTAAGAACTTCTTCCACCTCTCAGACCTCTTCAGCAACTTTGATAATTGTTAGTGAGTCTCAAAAGTTGTGCAAATGGGATTGTGCAACTCTATGTTACTTGGACTAATGGTATCTGCCATTGTACTGTACTTTCAGAACATTTACCCTGCATAATTGTAAAATGCACTGTAACGCTTCGATTACATCTTCATCCTTAAAGCCCGAAAAGAATGAACATACCCGCAGCCTCTTTAAACTTCCCTCGCGACGCATGCAGCTTACGCGAAATTGACCATTCTTCTCACAGACTCCAGAAACTCTTCTGGTGCAATGTCTTTTAGGCTCATTCGCTCCTCTTGTGTTGGAATAATGGAGAGGGCCTTCTCGCTCATCACATTGTTGTTCTCCTGACGATAATAAATGTTAACAAGTCGGGAACACTATGAAATATCTTCTCATCAATTTCTTTTCTGTGCCTAATCATAATAGATATGACCGATATAAGATTATAATTTTTTTTGAAATATTCTTTTTGTAGCGGCATAAATTGCAAATTTTATATAATCACACCAGTAAACTTACCTTTGCATTAAATCGATTACTTCTTCATAACGACTACCACTTTTATAGGCAACTACAGCGTCAGTGTACTTCTTTGTCCTTTCATAATACTCGTCTTGTCGTAACAAAGCGCAGCGGGTTCGTACATTTTCCATTCGGCATATATCTTACCAGCTTCTTTATACATATTGATTTCTTAGTTTTAATATCTAATTTTGATTTGATGTAAATTATAAAATTCTTCTATATATGAAAATTTTGTCTTAAGAATTTTCTTAAAAAAATTTAAAGAAATGCCTTTTTAACTTATTAGTTTATAGAACTCTGCATTTTTTTTTTAAAAAAAAAAAATAAACGAAAAATCTCAAAATTTCTTATTTAAAAAAAAAATTTAAAAAATTTTATTACCAAAATTTGTTAATTTTAAAGCATATATTAAAAAAATTTTTGCTGTCACTATAATATTTCTACTATACAGTCGGAACTCGATAAAACGAACTCCCAATCAAAAATGAAAAGGCAAAGAAATAAATAATCCTGATTCAATATATTATCGGGCATATCAGGTGATAATATTTCGAGACATCAATCTTTTTTCAAAGAAATAATTAATATTCTTAAAGTATTGTCCAGCTCTCTTTCATTGGGTGATCCGAATTATTTTCATATAATATCTAAGATCAATAAATTAAGCTTTATTTGCAAATAATTGGAGGCGGAGGATTAGTGGTTTAAGAAATGTTTCATATCACAAATCGCTCCCGTTGTTTAAGGTTATGTTCTTTTGTATTAAGGAAAATGCTTTGGAATAATGATATAAAAAATTTTTTTTTTGATGACAATTCAAAAGCATTCTCTTAGACAAGACAAGTGGCGCTGAAGATGGTATAACTTCCTCTTTGCAAACCTTTTGAACCTGTAAAATTTTATAAAAGAAATTAAGTTAGAGGCAAGTATTGGAAGGACTAACCTAACAATAAAAATAAAAACCACTTAATGTCTACTGAGCTCCTAAAGAAAGACATGTGAAGGAAACTTTCACCTGTAAGGCAAACACTTCAAAGAGGATGGATAGGCGAACCCTAGGGAGCGTCCCGTATACAAGTACTAAACCGTCGCTCTAGCTTAATGCCACCAGAAAATGCTTCTCCTTTTAAACTAAAACTTTTACTAGCCACTTCATTAAACAATAAGCAGTTCATGAAAGAACTGGAACACGACCGGACAGACAGAAATTTATGATTATTCAACCCAACTATGACCTTTTAGCACTCACCTAGATAAAGAGTTTCACTTTTATCTTGGCAATAAATCTTCAGCAACCTCATAAAATCTTTAACGTTTAAACGTTTGGTTTTT